GCATTTGTATACACTTGTCAGTCCACTGTCTGTCCATGTCAGTGAAGTAGTAAACAGCATTTGTATACAGCTGTCTGTCCACTGTCTGTCCATATCAGTGAAGTAGTAAACAGCATTTGTATACACTTGTCTGTCCACTTTCTGTCTATATCAGTTCAGTAGTAAACAGCATTTGTATACACTTGTCTGTCCACTTTCTGTCCATATATAAACAGCTTTTGTATACAGGGTTATTTTTTATAAAGTATGGAAGGTGTCTTTTTGATGTTTTTCCCCTTTCAGGTTTTTGTCTAATTTAAACACCAATTTCAAAAGACTGTATACTGTTATTATACTCCAATAGAGTGTATACTGTTATTATACTCCAACAGACTGTATACTGTTATTATACTCCAATAGACTGTATACTGTTATTAAGTCTCCAATAGACTGTATACTGTTATTATATTCCAATTGACTGTATACTGTTATTATATTCCAATAGACTGTATACTGTTATTATACTCCAATAGACTGTATACTGTTATTATACTCCAATAGACTGTATACTGTTATTATACTCCAATAGACTGTATACTGTTATTATACTCCAATAGACTGTATACTGTTATTATACTCCAATAGACTGTATACTGTTATTATACTCCAACAGACTGTATACTGTTATTATACTCCAATAGACTGTATACTGTTATTATACTCCAATAGACTGTATACTGTTATTATACTCCAATAGACTGTATACTGTTATTATACTCCAATAGACTGTATACTGTTATTATACTCCAATAGACTGTATACTGTTATTATACTCCAATAGACTGTATACTGTTATTATACTCCAATAGACTGTATACTGTTATTATACTCCAATAGACTGTATACTGTTATTATACTCCAATAGACTGTATACTGTTATTATACTCCAATAGACTGTATACTGTTATTATACTCCAATAGACTGTATACTGTTATTATACTCCAATAGAGTGTATACTGTTATTATACTCCAATAGACTGTATACTGTTATTATACTCCAATAGACTGTATACTGTTATTATACTCCAACAGACTGTATACTGTTATTATACTCCAATAGACTGTATACTGTTATTATACTCCAATAGACTGTATACTGTTATTATACTCCAATAGACTGTATACTGTTATTAAGTCTCCAATAGACTGTATACTGTTATTAAGTCTCCAATAGAGTGTATACTGTTATTATACTCCAATAGACTGTATACTGTTATTATACTCCAATAGACTGTATACTGTTATTAAGTCTCCAACAGACTGTATACTGTTATTATACTCCAATAGACTGTATACTGTTATTATACTCCAATAGACTGCATACTGTTATTATACTCCAACAGACTGTATACTGTTATTATACTCCAATAGACTGTATACTGTTATTATACTCCAATAGAGTGTATACTGTTATTATACTCCAACAGACTGTATACTGTTATTATACTCCAATAGACTGTATACTGTTATTAAGTCTCCAACAGACTGTATACTGTTATTATACTCCAATAGAGTGTATACTGTTATTATACTCCAATAGACTGTATACTGTTATTATACTCCAATAGACTGTATACTGTTATTATACTCCAATAGAGTGTATATTGTTATTATACTCCAATAGACTGTATACTGTTATTATACTCCAATAGAGTGTATATTGTTATTATACTCCAATAGACTGTATACTGTTTTTATACTCCAATAGACTGTATACTGTTATTATACTCCAATAGACTGTATACTGTTATTATACTCCAATAGACTGTATACTGTTATTATACTCCAATAGACTGTATACTGTTATTATACTCCAATAGACTGTATACTGTTATTATAGTCTCCAATAGACTGTATACTGTTATTATACTCCAATAGACTGTATACTGTTATTACACTCCAATAGACTGTATACTGTTATTATACTCCAATAGAGTGTATACTGTTATTATACTCCAATAGACTGTATACTGTTATTATACTCCAACAGACTGTATACTGTTATTATACTCCAACAGACTGTATACTGTTATTATACTCCAATAGACTGTATACTGTTATTATACTCCAATAGAGTGTATACTGTTATTATACTCCACTAGACTGTATACTGTTATTACACTCCAATAGACTGTATACTGTTATTATACTCCAATAGACTGTATACTGTTATTATACTCCAATAGACTGTATACTGTTATTATACTCCAATAGACTGTATACTGTTATTATACTCCAACAGACTGTATACTGTTATTATACTCCAATAGAGTGTATATTGTTATTATACTCCAATAGACTATATACTGATATTACACTCCAATAGACTGTATACTGTTATTACACTCCAATAGACTGTATACTGATATTACACTCCAATAGACTGTATATTGTTATTATACTCCAATAGACTGTATACTGTTATTAATACTCCAATAGACTGTATACTGTTATTAAGTCTCCAATAGAGTGTATACTGTTATTATACTCCAACAGACTGTATACTGTTATTATACTCCAATAGACTGTATACTGTTATTATACTCCAACAGACTGTATACTGTTATTATACTCCAATAGACTGTATACTGTTATTACACTCCAATAGACTGTATACTGTTATTATACTCCAATAGACTGTATACTGTTATTACACTCCAATAGACTGTATACTGTTATTATACTCCAATAGACTGTATACTGTTATTAATACTCCAATAGACTGTATACTGTTATTATACTCCAATAGACTGTATACTGTTATTATACTCCAATAGACTGTATACTGTTATTATACTCCAATAGACTGTATACTGTTATTATACTCCAATATTACACTTCACTATCTCCTTTAACTGTGAAATTGCTGACTGACAATCTCATAGATAATTATATACATAATGTACAGTTATAAAATCTGTGACTAACTGTAGTCTGTTCGTGTGAACTAGATGTAGCCTGTATATAGCTATAACATTGGTGACTGACTGTAGTCTGTTAGTGTGAACTAGAGAGACTAGCTATAACATTGGTGACTGACTGTAGTCTGTTAGTGTGAACTAGAGGAGACTGTACCCTGTATATAGCTATAACATTGGTGACTGACTGTAGTCTGTTAGTGTGAACTAGAGGAGACTGTACCCTGTATATAGCTATAACATTGGTGACTGACTGTAGTCTGTTAGTGTGAACTAGAGGAGACTGTACCCTGTATATAACTATAACATTGGTGACTGACTGTAGTCTGTTAGTGTGAACTAGAGGAGACTGTACCCTGTATATAGCTATAACATTGGTGACTGACTGTAGTCTGTTAGTGTGAACTAGATGTACCCTGTATATAACTATAACATTGGTGACTGACTAGTCTGTTAGTGTGAACTAGAGGAGACTGTACCCTGTATATAGCTATAACATTGGTGACTGACTGTAGTCTGTTAGTGTGAACTAGATGTACCCTGTATATAACTATAAAATTGGTGACTGACTGTAGTCTGCTAGTGTGAACTAGAGGAGACTGTACCCTGTATATAGCTATAACATTGGTGACTGACTGTAGTCTGTTAGTGTGAACTAGAGGAGACTGCACCCTGTATATAGCTATAACATTGGTGACTGACTGTAGTCTGTTAGTGTGAACTAGAGGAGACTGCACCCTGTATATAGCTATAACATTGGTGACTGACTGTAGTCTGTTAGTGTGAACTAGAGGAGACTGTACCCTGTATATAACTATAACATTGGTGACTGACTGTAGTCTGTGTTAGTGTGAACTAGAGGAGACTGTACCCTGTATATAGCTATAACATTGGTGACTGACTGTAGTCTGCTAGTGTGAACTAGAGGAGACTGTACCCTGTATATAACTATAACATTGGTGACTGACTGTAGTCTGTTAGTGTGAACTAGATGTACCCTGTATATAACTATAACATTGGTGACTGACTAGTCTGTTAGTGTAAACTAGAGGAGACTGTACCCTGTATATAGCTATAACACTGGTGACTGACTGTAGTCTGTTAGTGTGAACTAGAGGAGACTGTACCCTGTATATAGCTATAACATTGGTGACTGACTGTAGTCTGTTAGTGTGAACTAGAGGAGACTGCACCCTGTATATAACTATAACATTGGTGACTGACTAGTCTGTTAGTGTGAACTAGAGGAGACTGTACCCTGTATATAACTATAACATTGGTGACTGACTGTAGTCTGTTAGTGTGAACTAGAGGAGACTGCACACTGTATATAACTATAACATTGGTGACTGACTGTAGTCTGTTAGTGTGAACTAGAGGAGAATGTACCCTGTATATAGCTATAACATTGGTGACTGACTGTAGTCTGTTAGTGTGAACTAGAGGAGACTGCACACTGTATATAACTATAACATTGGTGACTGACTGTAGTCTGTTAGTGTGAACTAGAGGAGACTGTACCCTGTATATAGCTATAACATTGGTGACTGACTGTAGTCTGTTAGTGTGAACTAGAGGAGACTGCACCCTGTATATAACTATAACATTGGTGACTGACTGTAGTCTGTTAGTGTGAACTAGAGGAGACTGTACCCTGTATATAACTATAACATTGGTGACTGACTGTAGTCTGTTAGTGTGAACTAGAGGAGACTGCACCCTGTATATAACTATAACATTGGTGACTGACTAGTCTGTTAGTGTGAACTAGAGGAGACTGTACCCTGTATATAACTATAACATCGGTGACTGACTGTAGTCTGTTAGTGTGAACTAGAGGAGACTGCACACTGTATATAACTATAACATTGGTGACTGACTGTAGTCTGTTAGTGTGAACTAGAGGAGACAGGGGTACCCTGTATATAACTATAAAATTGGTCACTGAGTCAGTGTTGTAGTCTATTTGTGTCAGTTACAGGAGTCTGATGTCTATATCCATATTTTTCACTTGATTATTGTGACGATGATTTGACTTGTAGTACCAGACTTTGCCAGACTGGCTCGGATGCTTCAGATGGTGGTGAATGTACCAATCCCAGATGTAAGATTTTCACATTTGATAGCGTCAGAGAAGTCTGAGGTGGATGAAGAGAGTCAGAGGATACTGGAAATCATGGTAGAGAAACAGTTGTTCCATCAGGCAAGAGAGTTTGTCCGCGAGGCTGGACTGTCTCATGATCGTGTCACCATGGCAGAGGTAACATCTCTAACCATTTTTATAAGTCTAAAGATAGGTTATCTGAAAAATGTTGGCCTATACAAAAGACTATGACTTACAATTTTTATCTTTTGTGATAATATAATCATTTAATATTTAAAGCATTTATCTTTTACTTTTTAGTTTGTTTGCTGTTATTTTCTTTTTGGATCGCTGTATGTTTTACTGGTTGATGGCCCAAATGAACTTTTATGTGTTGACAGGCAGTTAAGATTGTAATAATGATAGATAATTTTAGAATGATAAGATGAACAATTACTGCCCAACAAGTGAACAGAAGATAGTGAACAAGGTCAACAATAGTCCAGAAATCTCACATTTCAGATGAGTTTGACAAGGAAACATAGATGTTCAAATTATGGAGATATCCAAACTAATGAGAAATGATATAAATAAATGAAGAATGCTGTTGTTTTATCTGTCGAGACTTCTCTTCTATCCAGTATTCTATAACTTTGTTTTCATTTTTAGGTGAAAGATGAGAAGTCGAAGTTGATGTTAACTCCCCTGTGGCAGTCTACCATCATTCGTCAGAGATTCTGGAAACAGTGTGCTAAATCCTTCCTAAACTACAAACTGTCAGTGGAGCAAGCAACAGACTTCTTCAAGGTAAGGTTCACCTTAACTCCTGTCAGAGAAATGGATAGTAAAGTCGTGTTAAAGGAAATAATGATGTAACTCCTCTCAGAGGAATGGATAGTAAAGTCGTGTTAAAGGAAATAATGATGTAACTCCTGTGTGATGGAACACTTCACCTTCCAGACTGAGGCCAATACGGTAGAGAGCTACCAGGAAAAAGCTTATCTATACCAGCTGTGTGTCCAACACATGGAGGCCCTAGGCAAGGCAGACATGCTGCAACTCATCGACCAAACGTACCACACTTTGAGCATATACAGAATCAGGGCTAAGATGGAGCAGATGCAGGTATGGCCTGGTGGGGACACAGTGAAAGTGTCACCCTGGTATATACTAGCTGTAATAACAACTTAGCTAACATATCTACTTACAAATTGTCACCCAGGTAAACAGCAATTTCACTGAGCTTATAATTTACAATTGTTCCTGTTTTGGTTTGTTCACAGGTATCTAATTTCACACCATTTACTGAACTGGTATTCATGTATAAGGCATAACAGATATCTACATTCACAGTAGACATGTTCATTCACAGTAGACATGTTCATTCACTGTAGACTTGTTCATTCACAGTAGACATGTTCATTCACAGTAGACATGTTCATTCACTGTAGACATGTTCATTCACTGTAGACATGTTCATTCACTGTAGACGTGTTCATCCACAGTAGACATGTTCATTCACTGTAGAAATGTTCATTCACTGTAGACATGTTCATTCACTATAGACATGTTCATTCACTGTAGAAATGTTCATTTAATGTAGACATGTTCATTCACTATAGACATGTTCATTCACTGTAGACTTGTTAATTCACTGTACACGTGTTCATTCACTGTAGACATGTTCATTCACTGTAGACTTGTTCATTCACTGTAGACATGTTCATTCACTGTAGACATGTTCATTCACTATAGACATGTTCATTCACTGTAGACTTGTTAATTCACTGTAGACTTGTTCATTCACTGTAGACTTGTTCATTCACTGTAGACATGTTCATTCACTGTAGACATGTTCATTCACTGTAGACTTGTTCATTCACTGTAGACTTGTTCATTCACTGTAGACTTGTTCATTCACTGTAGACTTGTTCATTCACTGTAGACATGTTCATTCACTATAGACATGTTCATTCACTGTAGACTTGTTCATTCACTGTAGACTTGTTAATTCACTGTAGACATGTTCATTCACTGTAGACGTGTTCATTCACTGTAGACGTGTTCATCCACAGTAGACATGTTCATTCACTGTAGAAATGTTCATTCACTGTAGACATGTTCATTCACTATAGACATGTTCATTCACTGTAGAAATGTTCATTTAATGTAGACATGTTCATTCACTATAGACATGTTCATTCACTGTAGACTTGTTAATTCACTGTACACGTATTCACTGTAGACATGTTCATTCACTGTAGACTTGTTCATTCACTGTAGACATGTTCATTCACTGTAGACATGTTCATTCACTATAGACATGTTCATTCACTGTAGACTTGTTAATTCACTGTAGACTTGTTCATTCACTGTAGACTTGTTCATTCACTGTAGACATGTTCATTCACTGTAGACATGTTCATTCACTGTAGACTTGTTCATTCACTGTAGACTTGTTCATTCACTGTAGACGTGTTCATTCACAGTAGACATGTTCATTCACTGTAGACTTGTTCATTCACTGTAGACATGTTCATTCACTGTAGACATGTTCATTCACCGTAGAAATGTTCATTCAACTGGGGTTAAAAATTACTATAACCTTGTAGTACAAAAAGTAGCTTACAAAGTTTAGAATAATTTGATGTGTAAATTCCCTTGAAGCTCTGCTGTGGTTTATTAATGATTTCAAAAAAGTGACGTCTCTCTATCTCACTCACTAATTAGCATGGAGATAACAGCGAGGATTTCATGGAGGACATTTTTGAAGATGATTGCAGTTCTTTACCATCTGATAGCCATGACCGTAAGAAGGAACTTCTCAACTACGGCAAGATGCCTCGTAAAGATCAAGTATCGAAAGAGCTGACTGAGGAGGTTGGTTAATAAATTAATTAAACATAGCATCATTACTCATCCTTAGCCAGGACAGAGAGGTTCGTCCATCTTTTTGGTCGGTCCATATACCTTGTCTTCATATTAATACGATTTAGAATGACTGAAAGGCTTCAGTTCGAGTTCTAAAAGTTGTTAATGTCCCTTTGAAATATCAACTTTTATCATGCTTGTGGGAAGCATACAGTCACCACTTTGTTTGTGCCTCAATGCATCTGTGCATCTGTCAGTTCAAGGGATTTTCTATGCTCTAACTTCAAGCTAGTAGTATCTTTTGCTAGGAGGGAGTTCTCCATTTAAATACTTTTTCTGTTTCCATGGAAACAGATAGGCCAAATTACAGAGTTCAGTTATTTCAAACTTATTTATGTCATCAGCATAACTTTGCTTGCATTAAAACCTTGGCTAATGAAACTTTGTGTATACATTGGTTATACTATGATAATATGCAGTTAAACAAATTCAGGGCCTTCCACCCCTCAATTACAGAATTATTGCCCTTTGTTAAAATTTTGTTTCCAATAAAGTCATTTTCAGTCTTGTCAGTTTACTAATTGATTAAGATACAATTGTCTTTCTATGTATTGGTATGACAATATGGAGAAATTAGGTTATTTTTCCACAATACATGAAGATTAGGGCCCTTGTTGATGTTTCAACCTTGGCCAGGAATGTAAAACTATTGACTATTTGCTAGATAATTTACTGTTAATGTTGTGGTAAAAACTATTTGTATATTGGCTTATATTCAATTTGTTACTTTTAATGAGTAATTCACAGTTTTGTGGTGATTTTGTGTGTTTTTTTCAACAGGAGACAAAGGCCCTGGATCTACTGATACAGGAACTGTTAGACAACGGTCAAGTAATCGAGAGTTGTAGACTGGCCACTGACTTCCATTTCTACTGTCGTGATCTTGTCATCGTCCTGGTCAGTCAACTTCTCACAGTTTCAGTCTCTAAAGTTAAAGTTATTGATGGATACATGACCTGTATGTCAGAGTTTTTATTATATACAATATATCTGTGTGTCAGTCACTGGTCACATGACTTCACCTGTATGTCAGCGTGGATGGTACACACTATTTTGTAATGATTATAACCTACTGGTAGCATATATGTGGTGGACATTTGTGAGGGAAACTAATAATAATTTGACCCTTTAATTGTTCTACATATTTATATATGTGATTGAAAAAAGTTTCAGAAAATATTCTAAGGGAATTTCATTTTTAGAAAGACTTGTCAATGCAGAACAAGAAAAAAACAGAATTCTTTTCTTGCCTTGAGATGGACTAAGGGAATATTTGTGTGACAGAGTTAGGACACATATGCTTTTTCTCACAGACATGTATACGACTGGCCTTGGGAACAGTCACTGTGGGCGAATCAATGGACATGACAATGGTCAGTTTGTTGGCAGAATCTACAGGACATCGCAGATTGTCAATGACAGCGACTCCGGGTATGGGAAGGATAAACAACAGATCTTCTAGTGAGTACTGCAGACACTACAACATGTCTGATCTTGTTGTGTTTACTACATAAATATAGAACTGGAGACACCTTCACAAGAACAGGTATTCACAAGTAGTAAGAAACCAAGAGTTTCATGTTTATATTTGGTCACAAACTGGAATAAGTAATTCAGTAGTAAGTCTCTAAAAGTTCTGAAAATTTAATCTATCCTTGGTCTAACACTGGTCAGTCTAGTGTCTGTAATGTACTAATAATCTACCCCTGATTTAATTCTGGTCACTGCAGTGGTCAGTCTAGCATCTGTGGCATCCACTACCTGGGAATTCCTGCCTGCTGACCAAGAGAAAACTGTTACCACAATGGAGGCTTTACTGGACAACTGTCATCATGGAAACCAGTGCTGTAAACAAGTCCTTAACTGTTACGTCATAGCAACAGTAAGTGTTAAAGAGTGACAATAACGTCATAGCAACAGTAAGTATTAAAGAGTGACAATGACATCATAGCTACAGTTTATATACCAACCAGACAGTGATGTCATAGCAACAGTAAGTGTTAAAGAGTGACAATGACGTCATAGCAACAGTAAGTGTTAAAGAGTGATAATGACGTCATAGCTACAGTTTATATACCAACCAGAGAGTTATGTCATAGCAACAGTAAGTGTTAAAGAGTGACAATGACATCATAGCAACAGTAAGTGTTAAAGAGTGATAATGACGTCATAGCTACAGTTTATATACCAACCAGAGAGTTATGTCATAGCAACAGTATGCGTGAAAGAGTGACAATGACGTCATAGCTACAGTTTATATACCAACCAGAGAGTTATGTCATAGCAACAGTATTCGTTAAAGAGTGACAATGACGTCATAGCTACAGTTTATATACCAACCAGACAGTTATGTCATAGTAAATATGTCAGTGAGACATTGACGTCATAGCAACAGTAAGTGTTAAAGAGTGACAATGACGTCATAGCTACAGTTTATATACCAACCAGACAGTTATGTCATAGCAAATATGTCAGTGAGACAGTGATGTCATAGCAACAGTAAGGATGTCAATGAGACAGTGATGTCATAGCAACAGTAATTATGTCAGTGAGACAGTGATGTCATAGCAACAGTAAGGATGTCAGTGAGACAGTGATGTAATAGTTTCAGTAAGTATGTCAATGACACAGTGATGTCATAGCAACAGTAATTATGTCAGTGAGACAGTGATGTCATAGCATCAGTAAGTGTGTCAATGAGACAGTGATGTCATAGCAACAGTAAGTATGTCAATGACACAGTGATGTCATAGCAACAGTAAGGATGTCAATGAGACAGTGATGTCATAGCAACAGTAAGGATGTCAATGAGACAGTGATGTCATAGCAACAGTAAGGATGTCAATGAGACAGTGATGTCATAGCAACAGTAATTATGTCAATGAGACAGTGATGTCATAGCAACAGTAATTATGTCAGTGAGACAGTGATGTCATAGCTTCAGTAAGTATGTCAATGAGACAGTGATGTCATAGCAACAGTAAGGTTGTCAATGAGACAGTGATGTCATAGCAACAGTAAGTATGTCAATGAGACAGTGATGTCATAGCAACAGTAATTATGTCAATGAGACAGTGATGTCATAGCAACAGTAATTATGTCAGTGAGACAGTGATGTCATAGCTTCAGTAAGGATGTCAATGAGACAGTGATGTCAGAGCAACAGTAAGGATGTCAATGAGACAGTGATGTCATAGCAACAGTAAGGATGTCAATGAGACAGTGATGTCATAGCAACAGTAAGTATGTCAATGACACAGTGATGTCATAGCAACAGTAAGGATGTCAATGAGACAGTGATGTCATAGCAACAGTAAGGATGTCAATGAGACAGTGATGTCATAGCAACAGTAAGGATGTCAATGAGACAGTGATGTCATAGCAACAGTAAGTATGTCAATGAGACAGTGATGTCATAGCAACAGTAAGTATGTCAATGAGACAGTGATGTCATAGCAACAGTAAGGTTGTCAATGAGACAGTGATGTCATAGCAACAGTAAGTATGTCAATGAGACAGTGATGTCATAGCAACAGTAATTATGTCAATGAGACAGTGATGTCATAGCAACAGTAATTATGTCAGTGAGACAGTGATGTCATAGCTTCAGTAAGGATGTCAATGACACAGTGATGTCATAGCAACAGTAAGAATGTCAGTGAGACAGTGATGTCATAGCAACAGTAATTATGTCAATGACACAGTGATGTCATAGCAACAGTAATTATGTCAGTGAGACAGTGATGTCATAGCTTCAGTAAGGATGTCAATGAGACAGTGATGTCATAGCAACAGTAATTATGTCAATGAGACAGTGATGTCATAGCAACAGTAAGGATGTCAATGAGACAGTGATGTCATAGCAACAGTAAGTATGTCAATGAGACGGTGATGTCATAGCAACAGTAATTATGTCAATGAGACAGTGATGTCATAGCAACAATAATTATGTCAGTGAGACAGTGATGTCATATCTTCAGTAAGGATGTCAGTGAGATGGTGATGTCATAGCAACAGTAAGGATGTCAATGAGACAGTGATGTCATAGCAACAGTAAGGATGTCAATGAGACAGTGATGTCATAGCTTCAGTAAGGATGTCAATGAGACAGTGATGTCATAGCAACAGTAAGGATGTCAATGAGTATTATATCAACATTGTATTAGAGAGACATTGTAGAATGTATTTCAGTTCACTATCATATTAGTAAGGCACTAACTGCAAAATTCAGTAAAGTAACAGTTAAAAATTCAGTTGTCTACTGATGAAATAGAGCAAACATGATTCAGTTTTCTTTTAATGAAATAGGACAAACTTGAAATAATTAAATTTGGTGTATTCTAATGTGTTTCAAAGGTAATGCAAAAACACAAAAATATTGCTGATTTTGACTATATTTTGTGTCATTTTGATTTTGGTTACAAATTATCTAGTTTTGTTATTAGAATATCAGAACTTTTTTTGTGCATTGGACTGAGGAATTTTGGTATTTTTATGTCTTGTTCTGATCTTAAATCTGCCTTCTCATTCCACAGGTTCTTGAAAAAGGATACGAGAATGTGGTGTTAGACAAGGAGTTCACTGTTCTCAAAGAGCTTCTCCAGACCAGTCTTCCACAGAGATTCTGGTTAGCATCAGAGTTCCTGGTCAGCAGCTCTCTCACAAACTCAGAGGTAAGTAGGACCGATGCAATGACTGACATCCGAGTCTTTGGTCAGCAGCTCTCTCACAAACTCAGAGGTAAGTAGGACCGATGCAATGACTGACATCCGAGTCTTTGGTCAGCAGCTCTCTCACAAACTCACAGGTAAGTAGGACCGATGCAATGACTGACATTAGAGTTCCTGGTCAGCAGCTCTCTCACAAACTCAGAGGTAAGTAGGACCGATGCAATGACTGACATCCGAGTCTTTGGTCAGCAGCTCTCTCACAAACTCAGAGGTAAGTAGGACCGATGCAATGACTGACATCCGAGTCTTTGGTCAGCAGCTCTCTCACAAACTCAGAGGTAAGTAGGACCGATGCAATGACTGACATCCGAGTCTTTGGTCAGCAGCTCTCTCACAAACTCAGAGGTAAGTAGGACCGATGCAATGACTGACATCCGAGTCTTTGGTCAGCAGCTCTCTCACAAACTCAGAGGTAAGTAGGACCGATGCAATGACTGACATCCGAGTCTTTGGTCAGCAGCTCTCTCACAAACTCAGAGGTAAGTAGGACCGATGCAATGACTGACATCCGAGTCTTTGGTCAGCAGCTCTCTCACAAACTCAGAGGTAAGTAGGACCGATGCAATGACTGACATCCGAGTCTTTGGTCAGCAGCTCTCTCACAAACTCTGAGGTAAGTAGGACCGATGCAATGACTGACATCCGAGTCTTTGGTCAGCAGCTCTCTCACAAACTCTGAGGTAAGTAGGACCGATGCAATGACTGACATCCGAGTCTTTGGTCAGCAGCTCTCTCACAAACTCAGAGGTAAGTAGGACCGATGCAATGACTGACATCAGAGTTCCTGGTCAGCAGCTCTCTCACAAACTCAGAGGTAAGTAGGACTGATGCAATGACTGACATCCGAGTCTTTGGTCAGCAGCTCTCTCACAAACTCAGAGGTAAGTAGGACCGATGCAATGACTGACATCCGAGTCTTTGGTCAGCAGCTCTCTCACAAACTCTGAGGTAAGTAGGACCGATGCAATCACTGACATCCGAGTCTTTGGTCAGCAGCTCTCTCACAAACTCTGAGGTAAGTAGGACCGATGCAATGACTGACATCCGAGTCTTTGGTCAGCAGCTCTCTCACAATCTCAGAGGTAAGTAGGACCGATGCAATGACTGACATCCGAGTCTTTGGTCAGCAGCTCTCTCACAATCTCAGAGGTAAGTAGGACCGATGCAATGACTGACATCCGAGTCTTTGGTCAGCAGCTCTCTCACAAACTCTGAGGTAAGTGGGAACAAGGTTACCTGATCAGCAGATTTTGAAAATGATTTAAAGATTTAAAAAGATTTTAGCTGCATTTTGCTGAACAAACCACTGGAGTAAGGTTTATCCATATTTATTCACCTTTCAGGTAAATTAAACCTACAAATGTATTAAGTAAGTATATCAGGTAGAGGCATCAGTAAGTGGCTAATGTTTAACACAAGATAATTAATACACTACTGGTAGGATCTCACTCGAGTTTCAATTTTCATGTGATTTATGATCATTCTACCAAGCCTTTGTCAAATTTCATATGAATGGAAACAAGTGTAAGATTTTGATCACATGACTTATATACCTTTGCGAATATTTGTGAGTAAAGCATCCTATTAAAACTGATACAAAACCTAAGTTTTCAAAATTTGCACTGGTTATCTCATTTTTGGTGATGTCACGATTGAAATGAAAGGAAACCAGTCACAATTACGCTATGTCATAATACATGTTAAATGAAAATTTGTGTTAAGGATGTTATTACACTGATAAAAGGCTTGTTATATGATCCAATAACATATAATCCTATTCAATTGTTTTACTGTCTTAGGTTGCCGGCTTTCTCTGTGATGCCATTGTTTATGCATACAAGTTCTCCTACTGTAATGAGGAGTTACCTCAGACTGACCCTACCCACCAGTCAGGAGAGAGGGATCTACTGTTTAACCCCACTGAGGACAGGGGTGTGTCTGGGCAGTTTGTGACCCTGTGTCCTGATCCCTCCATTCTTGGGGACAGATTGTTGGATGTAGTGACAAGCATGTCTGAGGAACAACACATCACTACTGCATGTAGGTTTATATCATTACAGACAGATAGTAAGGATGTCAATATAGTTACAGTCAGTTAGAAAGGTTGACAGACAGGAAGTGAGGTTGTCAGTACAGTTACAGACAGGAAGTGAGGTTGTCAGTACAGTAACAGACTGGAAGTGAGGTTGTCAGTACAGTTAAGTGAGGTTGTCAGTACAGTAACAGACAGGAAGTGAGGTTGTCGGTACAGTTACAGACAGGAAGTGAGGTTATCAGTACAGTAACAGACAGATAGTGAGGTTGTCAGTACAGTTACAGACAGGAAGTGAGGTTGTCAGTACATTTACAGACAGGTACTGAGGTTGTCAGTACAGTAACAGACAGGTAGTGAGGTTATCAGTACAGTTACAGACAGGAAGTGAGGTTGTCAGTACAGTTACAGACAGGAAGTGAGGTTGTCAGTACAGTTACAGACAGGAAGTGAGGTTATCAGTACAGTAACAGACAGATAGTGAGGTTATCAGTACAGTTACAGATAGGAAGTGAGGTTGTCAGTACAGTTAAAACAGACAGTAACAGATAGTGAGGCTATCAGTACAGTTACAGACAGGTAGTGAGGTTATCAGTACAGTTACAGACAGGAAGTGAGGTTGTTAGTACAGTTACAGACAGATAGTGAGGTTGTCAGTACAGTTACAGACAGGAAGTGAGGTTGTCAGTACAGTAACAGACAGGAAGTGAGGTTGTCAGTACAGTTACAGACAGGAAGTGAGGTTGTCAGTACAGTTACAGACAGGAAGTGAGGTTTTCAGTACAGTTACAGATAGTGAGGCTATCAGTACAGTTACAGACAGGAAGTGAGGTTATCAGTACAGTTACAGACAGGAAGTGAAGTTTATGAGGTTGAAAAAAAGGCTATATTGTAGACTGGTTATTTTTTTTTAATCTGTCTTTGTATTTGAATATAGAATATAACAAATGTAATAATTGTCAAACAAAAACTATTATGTTTTTAAAGTTAATAAATATTGATATTCACTAATTATCATACATAGATGACAAATAAATCAAGAAAAGATATGCTTTTTATTTTTGGTCCTCAGAAACTGCCACAAAATCCACCCCATCATTGTTCATGTTATATCAGAATTGACATCATAAATAACAAGCCTACTTGGCAAAAGTGATATTTCTGTCACAAAGATTTGAATTAGAATATACTGTTACAAACAAAAACTATTATGAAACTTTCACTGTTACACAAAGAAACTTTCACTGTTACACAAAGAAACTTTCACTGTTACACAAAGAAACTTTCACTGTTACACAAAGAAACTTTCACTGTTACACAAAGAAACTTTCACTGTTACACAAAGAAACTTTCACTGTTATATAAAACTGTTAATTTTCATATGGTGTTTAAAATTTAAGTACATCAAAATATATAATTTCATCTTAACCTTGAACTTTGACCCTCCTGTATATATCAAAAAGGAATTTACAATATTCATGAGTTATAACTCAAACCTTGTAATTTGTTTCAGTGCTGTCAGTCCAGACAGAACTGCTGATCCTTTCCCACACCTGTCACACTACAGCCTGTAACATGGAGGGTATCTCCCACGTCCTAAGGTCGGCTCGCACCATCACAGTCAGCCTGGCTAACACACACAACTTCTCACTGATGGTAATTAGACCTCTTGTAAGGGTCAAGTGTTTTGTTTGATATTAAACATTCAGTCCACTGCTCGCAATGGATTTTATGATGTAATTTTAAGTTGATGGACAATTTGTTACTAATAAAGTGTTTCAAAATTCTCCAAGTACATGACTATTATTGTTGGTGTTTGTAGGTGTATCTGCTGACAGGATGAAAACTATAGATAGATTAAATCCTAAAACATTTATTATTGATGTTTGTAGGTGCAGTTACTGACAGGAAGAATGCTATAGATAGATAAAGTCTTAAAACATTTATTGTTGATGTTTGTAGGTGCGGTTATTGACAGGAGTTGGCAGATTCAGTGAGATGACCTATATATTTGACAGTCTGAAGATGAACGAGCACTTTGAGCTGCTGCTGAAAAAAGGAATAGAGAAGGTGAGTGATGGCAAGTAAAGAAACAAATCAGACAACATCTTGTACCCTGGTAATGTGTCCCCAGCTGGTTCTACAAGACAACATCTTGTACCCTGGTAATGTGTCCCCAGCTGGTTCTACAAGACAACATCTTGTACCCTGGTAATGTGTCCCCAGCTGGTTCTACAAGACAACATCTTGTACCCTGGTAATGTGTCCCCAGCTGGTTCTACAAGACAACATCTTGTACCCTGGTAATGTGTCCCCAGCTGGTTCTACAAGACAACATCTTGTACCCTGGTAATGTGTCCCCAGCTGGTTCTACAAGACAACATCTTGTACCCTGGTAAGGTGTCCCCAGCTGGTTCTACAAGACAACATCTTGTACCCTGGTAAGGTGTCCCTAGCTGGTTCTACAAGACAACATCTTGTACCCTGGTAATGTGTTCCCAGCTGGTTCTACAATACAACATCTTGTACCCTGGTAATGTGTCCCCAGCTGGTTCTACAAGACAACATCTTGTACCCTGGTAATGTGTCCCCAGCTGGTTCTACAAGACAACATCTTGTACCCTGGTAATGTGTCCCCAGCTGGTTCTACAAGACAACATCTTGTACCCTGGTAATGTGTCCCCAGCTGGTTCTACAATACAACATCTTGTACCCTGGTAATGTGTCCCCAGCTGGTTCTACAAGACAACATCTTGTACCCTGGTAATGTGTCCCCAGCTGGTTCTACAAGACAACATCTTGTACCCTGGTAATGTGTCCCCAGCTGGTTCTACAAGACAACATCTTGTACCCTGGTAATGTGTCCCCAGCTGGTTCTACAATACAACATCTTGTACCCTGGTAATGTGTCCCCAGCTGGTTCTACAAGACAACATCTTGTACCCTGGTAATGTGTCCCCAGCTGGTTCTACAAGACAACATCTTGTACCCTGGTAATGTGTCCCCAGCTGGTTCTACAAGACAACATCTTGTACCCTGCTAATTTGGCCCTAGCTAGTTCTACAAGACAACATCTTGTACCCTGGTAATGTGTCCCCAGCTGGTTCTACAAGACAACATCTTGTACCCTGGTAATGTGTCCCCAGCTGGTTCTACAAGACAACATCTTGTACCCTGGTAATGTGTCCCCAGCTGGTTCTACAAGACAACATCTTGTACCCTGGTAATTTGGCCCTAGCTAGTTCTACAAGACAACATCTTGTACCCTGGTAATGTGTCCCCAGCTGGTTCTACAAGACAACATCTTGTACCCTGGTAATGTGTCCCCAGCTGGTTCTACAAGACAACATCTTGTACCCTGGTAATTTGGCCCCAGCTGGTTCTACAAGACAACATCTTGTACCCTGGTAATTTGGCCCTAGCTAGTTCTACAAGACAACATCTTGTACCCTGGTAATTTGTCCCCAGCTGGTTCTACAAGACAACATCTTGTACCCTGGTAATGTGTCCCCAGCTGGTTCTACAAGACAACATCTTGTACCCTGGTAATTTGGCCCTAGCTAGTTCTACAAGACAACATCTTGTACCCTGGTAATGTGTCCCCAGCTGGTTCTACAAGACAACATCTTGTACCCTGGTAATTTGGCCCTAGCTAGTTCTACAAGACAACATCTTGTACCCTGGTAATTTGGCCCTAGCTAGTTCTACAAGACAACATCTTGTACCCTGGTAATGTGTCCCCAGCTGGTTCTACAAGACAACATCTTGTACCCTGGTAATGTGTCCCCAGCTGGTTCTACAAGACAACATCTTGTACCCTGGTAATGTGTCCCCAGCTGGTTCTACAAGACAACATCTTGTACCCTGGTAATTTGGCCCTAGCTAGTTCTACAAGACAACATCTTGTACCCTGGTAATGTGTCCCCAGCTGGTTCTACAAGACAACATCTTGTACCCTGGTAATGTGTCCCCAGCTGGTTCTACAAGACAACATCTTGTACCCTGGTAATGTGTCCCCAGCTGGTTCTACAATACAACATCTTGTACCCTGGTAATGTGTCCCCAGCTGGTTCTACAAGACAACATCTTGTACCCTGGTAATGTGTCCCCAGCTGGTTCTACAAGACAACATCTTGTACCCTGCTAATTTGGCCCTAGCTAGTTCTACAAGACAACATCTTGTACCCTAGTAATGTGTCCCCAGCTGGTTCTACAAGACAACATCTTGTACCCTGGTAATGTGTCCCCAGCTGGTTCTACAAGACAACATCTTGTACCCTGGTAATGTGTCCCCAGCTGGTTCTACAAGACAACATCTTGTACCCTGGTAATTTGGCCCTAGCTAGTTCTACAAGACAACATCTTGTACCCTGGTAATGTGTCCCCAGCTGGTTCTACAAGACAACATCTTGTACCCTGGTAATTTGGCCCTAGCTAGTTCTACAAGACAACATCTTGTACCCTGGTAATTTGGCCCTAGCTAGTTCTACAAGACAACATCTTGTACCCTGGTAATGTGTCCCCAGCTGGTTCTACAAGACAACATCTTGTACCCTGGTAATGTGTCCCCAGCTGGTTCTACAAGACAACATCTTGTACCCTGGTAATTTGTCCCCAGCTGGTTCTACAAGACAACATCTTGTACCCTGGTAATGTGTCCCCAGCTGGTTCTACAAGACAACATCTTGTACCCTGGTAATTTGGCCCTAGCTAGTTCTACAAGACAACATCTTGTACCCTGGTAATGTGTCCCCAGCTGGTTCTACATGACAACATCTTGTACCCTGGTAATGTGTCCCCAGCTGGTTCTACAAGACAACATCTTGTACCCTGGTAATGTGTCCCCAGCTGGTTCTACAAGACAACATCTTGTACCCTGGTAATGTGTCCCCAGCTGGTTCTACAAGACAACATCTTGTACCCTGGTAATGTGTCCCCAGCTGGTTCTACAAGACAATATCTTGTACCCTGGTAATGTGTCCCCAGCTGGTTCTACAAGACAACATCTTGTACCCTGGTAATTTGGCCCTAGCTAGTTCTACAAGACAACATCTTGTACCCTGGTAATTTGTCCCCAGCTGGTTCTACAAGACAACATCTTGTACCCTGGTAATGTGTCCCCAGCTGGTTCTACAAGACAACATCTTGTACCCTGGTAATTTGGCCCTAGCTGGTTCTACAAGACAACATCTTGTACCCTGGTAATGTGTCCCCAGCTGGTTCTACAAGACAACATCTTGTACCCTGGTAATGTGTCCCCAGCTAGTTCTACAAGACAACATCTTGTACCCTGGTAATGTGTCCCCAGCTGGTTCTACAAGACAACATCTTGTACCCTGGTAATGTGTCCCCAGCTGGTTCTACAAGACAACATCTTGTACCCTGGTAATGTGTCCCCAGCTAGTTCTACAAGACAACATCTTGTACCCTGGTAATTTGTCCCCAGCTGATTTTATCAGACATGACTGTAAGTTACTCCGCTGCATCTATTAGAAGTTACACTAGTAACTTGGGAGGTTTACTTTGAATAGTATGTAAACTGTTATTGTAAAATTAAGAAAAGATTTATATGAGTTCTAGCAGTTTCTTTTGTATTCCACTGGATCAATACAGTTTAAATCTTCTAGATGGCTTTCCTGAAAGTGCCTGCAAGGGTCTGTTTTCTCATCTTAAGAAAGTCGTCCTGTGAAAAGTGAACATATTTACCCCAATCAGCCAAACATGTGTAGTGTAGTAGTGTGTATATTGGATTGAGTGTGTCATGTATTTCATCATTTTAACTGATAATTACCTTTAGGAGAACAGTTTGAAGATTGCCTTGCTTGACTACCTGAAACGTTACCATCCAGCAGACATAGACACCTACGACATGGTAGCTCACAACTTCCTCATGCACCGTGAGATCGCACAGATGCTGGAGTCTCGAGCTTGTAGAGGGCTCAGTAGATATAAAGATAAACTACTAGGTAAGTAGATAAACTGAAGGACATGAAACTTGCTTCAGATTCATTGTTGTGGAACAGATGTCAGGACTACATACTGTTCTGAAAAGTGGTGTATAATCTGGTATCTTTTTACCTTACAAAATAGCCGTTATTACCATAGTATTTAAGTGTTGTATAATGTATAAAGTGAATGTGTTGTATAATCCTGGTTGTTTGGTTTTATAGAAAATACAACAGAGATCAAAGCAGACCTTCAGAACATTGTCCAGGATTTTACTGAGGCGGCTGAGAGTTACTACAAAGTAAGTCAAAATCAAGGTTTCTTCAGAGATGCAATTTCTCTGGTCTTTTTAAAGGAAATGACCGGTACATCTATCATGATACTGTGTGATACCCATGTCTTTTGTTTGCAGGAGAGCTGTTTGCGACACGCCCAAACTTGTTTGCGTCAGGCACGACTTGTGGCTCTCCAGCTTCAGCACCTTGCCCCTGTTCTCTCAGTCCTTCATCTCTCTTCAGATAATGCTGAGAAATTCATAGCCTCACATCCAAAGTTCCTTGAGGTATGTAAATTCTATGAGTTGACTTAAGATGTTGGTTTTTTCCCTATCAATTGATCATTAGAACCTATCTATCCGAGAGATCCTAACACCACCATACCTACTGCATATTGATCAAAGAAGGGCTGTGCATTTGCACCAACATTTTCAAGTTAATATCGTGTTAATATAGTCACGAAACAAGGCTGTTAAATGAGTGTGGTTACAAAACAAAGCTGTAAGACTGACTGGGGTTACAAAACAAAAGTGTAGCTGTAACACTGGCTTAGGTTACGACACAAAGCTGTAACACTGATTGAGGTTACAAAACATAGCTGTAACACTGGCTTAGGTTACGAAACAAAGCTGTAACACTGATTGAGGTTACAAAACAAAGCTGTAACACTGGCTTAGGTTACGACACAAAGCTGTAACACTGATTGAGGTTACAAAACAAAGCTGTAACACTGGCTTAGGTTACGACACAAAGCTGTAACACTGATTGAGGTTACGAAACAAAGCTGTAACACTGGCTGAGGTTACGAAACAAAGCTGTAACACTGATTGAGGTTACAAAACAAAGCTGTAACACTGGCTTAGGTTACGAAACAAAGCTGTAACACTGATTGAGGTTACGAAACAAAGCTGTAACACTGGCTTAGGTTACGAAAAAAAGCTGTTAAACTGACTGAAGTTACAAAACAAAGCTGTAAAATAGCTGGGGTTAAGAAACAAAGTTGTAACACTGACTGGGGTTACGAAACAAAGCTGTAACACTGGCTGAGGTTAGGAAACAAAGCTGTAACACTGGCTGAGGTTAGGAAACAAAGCTGTAAGACTGACTGAGATTACATTTTACTATAGAAATACTTGTTTAAGTGTAATGAATGTATTTCTACAGGCTTTGATCGTGAGTGAGACATACGGCAAGAAGGGAAATTGGCCAGATGCTCTGTGTCATAACGTACTGAAAGGCGGTGACTTCCGTTACCTGCAGGACTTCAAGTCTCGGATTAAACTTACCACAGCTCTGGTATCAGAGGCCATAGAGAAGTATGAAATCTTACAGCTATATGTAATGTTCTATAGAAATATAGAACATGTTCCTAAAATCTCTATGAATCAATGACAGAATTTATAAACATTTGTCAAGTCTCGGATTAAACTTACCACAGCTCTGGTATCAGAGGCCATAGAGAAGTATGAAATCTTACAGCTATATGTAATGCTCTGTAGAAATAATGTAAAATCTCTGTGAATCAATGACAGAATTTATAAACATTTGTCAAGTCTCGGATTAAACTTACCACAGCTCTGGTATCAGAGGCCATAGAGAAGTATGAAATCTTACAGCTATATGTAATGCTCTGTAGAAATAATGTAAAATCTCTGTGAATCAATGATATAGAATTTATAAACATTTGTACATGGTCTCTTAGGTTGTTATATTTTTTATTTTCTAGATTCCAACAGGAACAGAATCATCCTGCTCAGTCACTGAACAACCTGAAAAAGTTCCTTGAAACACACTGTAGGGATGTGAAGGTGAAGTACAAAGTGGCACAGGACTTTGGGTTTAAAGACCTTCTGACTGCTATGGAGAAAGGAGACAATAGCAACTACATCCAGGATCTAGTCCATCTGGCTACATAAACTTAGTGCTTCACGCTGGAAAAAAGAACACAATTTTCATTTTAAAATGTACTTTCAATATGCATACTGTATTTATCCCCATTTCATTTTTGCCAAATGATCAAATTCAAAATAGTAAGCTGAAAGTGGTTCACAAATAAGCCCGCCCTTAACTTTGTTACTAAACCTTTACACTAGAGAAGGGTGCTTATATGAGAATAAATATGGTATTTCAAAATATAAATACGAAAACTTTCTTCTATGAAAGACATTTTGAATATTGTAATTCTTGTTATTTAAAAATTTTCTCTGAGCTTTTTACTGCAAAAATCAAGTAGAAATTGTAGATAAAGAAAATTTATTTCCGCTATGCCAAATATCGATGTGAGCTGGGTTATAAGTAACAGACCAATCACTAGTTAGAATATAAACCAGGTGTTTAACATTCCGTAGTACACTTACCATTTGTATAAATGGTGCAACATGTCTTTGTATTTCAGTGCAATACCATGTAATGGTGTAAGGGTTGTTTGTTTACGTATTGTTTATCAGTGTATATTGTCACCTATTTAATTATCACACTGTGTTAAATACTGTTAATTACTATTGTTATTTATTCCATGACAAACCTGGTATATATACAAACAATCTCTGTTCTGGGTTTCCAGAGACTCAAACAAATATTTTCCATGATCAAATTCACATTTCTGACTTCTCAATAACAACTGCACCAACATAACAGCAAATCTCAATCATGATGTTTTGCTTGTTTTATGATTCTGAACAAATTGAAGATTGATGGATTGGACCTATGCAATTGGTTTGAAGTAGTCCAGGAAGAGTTGTGTCCCTTGACTGCTATTTTTGTCCTGTTGTATCCAGTCTTGATTGAGTCAGTACATTACTGATACCGGTACTAATTAAGTTGTTACAATATTGCCACATTATTTATCTATTTAAATTTGATATTAGGTACATATTTATAGATTTTGGTCTGATGTGAGTTTTATTTATGTCACGTTTCATATTTTACAATGTCAAGTCAAGTGTTGAACGTTGACATGGATTTAGACTATATAACAACACTTTTGAAGACTGACGTCGATTTAGACTATGGAACAATACTTTTGAAGACTGACATGGATTTAGACTATATAACAACACTTTTGAAGATCGACGTGGATTTAGACTATATAACAACACTTTTGAAGACTGACGTCGATTTAGACTATGGAACAATACTTTTGAAGATCGACGTGGATTTAGACTATATAACAACACTTTTGAAGACTGACGTCGATTTAGACTATGGAACAATACTTTTGAAGATCGACGTGGATTTAGACTATATAACAATACTTTTGAAGACTGACATTGATTTAGACTATATAACAACACTTTTGAAGACTGACCTGGATTTAGACTATATAACAATACTTTTGAAGATCGACGTGGATTTAGACTATGGAACAATACTTTTGAAGACTGACGTGGATTAAGACAGTGTAATAGAAAGGATTGAATCTGGTCTGGTGTTTTCATAATGCTATAGAAATGTTTCCAGTATTTCTCTCGTTTACATTGCTTACAGTGTATTAAGATGATATTCTGTGATATGTTTGAACACTACTTTGAATAAATCAGGTTCAGTAATTGACTTTGAAACCTTTGAATACTGATCAAAAGTGAAGAAGTATCAGGTGATGCTAGAATTTGTCACGATTTAAGTAAGTCATCACGATTTGACCTATATCATGTCGTCCTGATAAAATCTGGTGAGTTGGTGACACTGATGACATGATACTGCTTCAAAGTGTTTGTTTATACCTTACATTTTTCAAATAAATACTCAATGTTTCTGTTTAGGGTATTAAGTCTAGAAGCTGAGATGACGAAATAAAGAACGGTGAAGAATAGCTCTCTGTGTTTGTTTTGATATGTACGTCTTATGATTATAAAGTACAAAAAAGGACAAAATATATAGCAAGTGTTCTCAGTTTGGTTTTTATAGAATGTTTTGTAAATAAAATATTCAAAAATCAAAATCAAAATACCATTGGAAAATAAACCATAATTTCAGGAAACAAATATACCACAATGTCGACACACCCACTAACATATCTTACCATCATCCTACAAGGACTGAAATATACCACAATGTCGACACACCATCATCCTACAGGGACTTCAATATACCACAATGTCGACACACCCACTAACATATCTTACCGTCATCCTACAAGGACTTAAATATACCACAATGTCGACACACCCACTCATATCTACAAGGACTTAAATATACCACAATGTCGACACACCCACTAAGGCATTGATGAAAAATGACCTCTCTTACATTACCATCATCCTACAAGGACTTCAATATACCACAATGTCGACACACCCACTAACATATCTTACCATCATCCTACAAGGACAAAAATATACCACAATGTCAACACACCCACTAACATATCTTACCATCATCCTACAAGGACTTAAATATACCACAATGTCGACACACCCACTAACATATCTTACCATCATCCTACAAGGACAAAAATATACCACAATGTCGACACACCCACTAACATATCTTACCATCATCCTACAAGGACTTAAATATACCACAATGTCGACACACCCACTAACATATCTTACCATCAGCAAACAAGGACTTAAATTCCCATAACATCAACAAAATGACCAAAATATATGTTGTCTACATACAAAGCATTTACATAGTATCATTACACGAAAACTTTAAAATGCGGTGAGAAGACAAAAAAAAAAATATATATCAGTGGCATCTCACATATATTCACCCAGTGTCCCTCATCCCTCAACATTTTACGAAAAATCGCCTCTAGTCAAGAACGACTGATACTATTATCTGTCCCAGGTTGAACATTGTTTTCCTGCCTCTCGTTTATTAAGAGTTATGCCCCTTCCTACGATGAGCTCGTTTATTCCTTTATATTATTGATCTATATACTCCTTTTCGACCATTTTTCTTGCTCACTCTTCCTTTTCCCTAGAAGATTGGATAACTAACTGGGACAGGTGTTGACGGATCTTCCTAATTTACTTCCTACATAACGTATGATTCCAGGTTAAGCCTGCTGTTGTTTACCACTCATTTCAATTCTCTCTGTATACCTATTATTATAATTGCCTCAATTTTTCTACAGATTTATAAAATACACATTCCGGGATTAGATTTCCGACTGTTGGAAAATCTGCTCTCTCTCTCTCTCTCTCTCTCTCTTTTTAAAAAAATACCTATACTGTCTATGTAAATTTTCCTGTTATTTACGATGTACACGTTTAATACATTACTTGTTATTTATTGATATATCAATATATCTTAAAACCGAAGGACTTAGTAAGGTTACAGTTATTTTCAACCTTCTGATAGGGGTCCATAGCCACAAGATTTTACCACCAAACTTTACGAAAATACTGTCAACCAGAGATTTACTCTTCCTCACGATTCCGTCCTTCATACCCACCTTTGGACCTACTTTTCACGAAATAAGCTCCTGTGTAGTCCACCACAATGTGCTTGTGTTGCCATCCATGTTTCGTTTGAAAGATTTTCTGGCCCAAATGTGCCTCAGCTGAAGCTAGTTTGCGATGTAAAACTAATAATGACAGATAGCTACAGGAAGATACCAAGCAATAAAAATCTACAGTTCACACAGCTAATACTAATATCAAGAAAATAAGGGAAAATAAAAATTTAAAAATATCTGAATATCATATTGTAAAATTGACCTAAAGTTTTACTGACACATCTTACGTTTCACAATTTACATTTTCTTATAACAATAGTTTTAATTTATTAGGTTTATTCTCTGTACAAATCTGGTATAATCAGAGTATATAAAATGTCTATCACTTAAAACTATTTATTGTATAATTTTGAACGAAAAACAGGTATACACCTTTCTCGACACAATTATTTACACGAAAATCCCATTCAAATGCTGATCTAAAAATAGAAATCAATGTTTGATAAGTATTGTGCTTATGATTAAATATCAAACATTCTTACAATGTCGATCTAATTCGATTTGTGACGCTCGACATTTCTGTTCGGTGTAACCTTGATATGTCCGTTATGTAACATCTGTCTTTGAAGTCCAACACCTGACAGCGTTACCTTGAGAGGTGACAATGAGCGAGACATATTAGTTAACGTGTCGTTAGCTGGTCGTAGAAATAAAACGTAAATCCGATATTTTGGCGGAAAAAAAAATATCGGTTGCATGATGCCAGGGCTAGAATGTATGTTTGTGGATGGAAGTCGCCATGTCATCAGATATAAGGAGGGTTAAATAGAGGCCGCTGTATCAACAATTCATGTACGGTAATTATGTGTTTCGTTTGATCTCTTGTTTGAGCATGTTTCCGCATACAAAGTACAGTCAATCACGTAATTTAACACTTTTACAAAAATAACGAATGATTATTTTGTCACTAGAAACTGGCATAAACCTGCGTAATTGTGAAATATGAGAAGAATTTATACAATTCACATCCATTTTTGTTGAGTAATATATTTCCAAGCTCGATACGTAATAATGGCCAACATTCCACGTTCTAAGGCAGTGCATTAAATAGCATCAAACACCAATTACTAGCGCTGTTAATCGGTCCATCAATACCAGGTAACAATTTTACTGTGGACTCTCATCAACATCACCTGTCAAAGTTTTTTTTTCCACAATCATTGTGGTATCGACATATTTCGTTTCATATAAATCTTATGACCTTAGAAAATAAAATAGTTCTCTTGTACAGCTAATGAAGTGAAATCGAGTTGAATAACCAATCTAAGATAAAAATCGGCCTCTCGTCCGTTTTTCCGGATATTCTCATTAATCCATTTGTCATTTAGGCCAACGCTAACAAACACAATACATGGGTACTGTATCCAATTTCATAGAGTCATCATTGAAATTACATTTAATGTCGGCTTTTAAATGTTTGTAGCTTTGATACTAGTAAAATGTCCGTTATAGACAGCGGCGGTCATTAATGTCCAGGCTGATTCATTGATTGGTTTTAACTATTAATTGTTATTCTTTCCAGTAAAGTTGTTATCAAAAGGACACTATAATTAACTCACTAGATCGTCCGACCGCGAGCGGACACCTACACAATGAGTTGTGCTAGTTGTTTAATTCAGTGTAAATATAATTTGTTGTTCATTTTATTTGTAGATTCCTATCTATTTTATTCTTTGGTCCATACAAATTATGATATTGGGTATTTTTTGTGGGTATTTTCTTATAATTGTGTATTTTTTAAAATCAAAGTACTATTTTATTCCGAAGCAAGAGTGGTACTTTGTATTTGGCGTGAACGATGTATGACCTTGTAATCTAACACGAGATGTGAACACTTACTAAACATATAAACAAATTAATGGCTTGATCAATTGTGGAATTTACAAAATGTCTGCAAAAATGTGTTTATAAAGATTTTTCTTGTGTGTTTTTACGTTTGTCTTAATTATGTCACTTGTTAAAACAGGATAAAAATTAATTTTAATTGATGTAATTACGTTGCCAGCAAGCAATTTAGCATCCTCTGTCAATCACCAGTTACTCTACATATTTATAGAATTAACGTTTTGTATTGGAAATAACGTCGGAAGCTAACATACAAAAGTAAGATAGAGATCGATCCTCCTCCACAAAGCACAGAAACATACTCAAAAGATAGCAGATAGCAGGGCCATGGACATGGTGGTGGCGGTGGTGGTGATAATGGTGGTGGTGGTGGTAGTGGTGGTGGTGATGATGATGGTGGTGGTGGTGGTGTGTGTGTGGTGGTGGTGATTGATGATGATGATGATGATGATGATGATGATGATGATGATTATGATGGTGGTGGTGGTGGTGGTGGTGATGATGATGATGATGATAATGATGATGATGATGATGATGATGATGATGATGATGATGATGGTGGTGGTGGTGGTGGTGATGATGATGATGATGGTGGTGGTGGTGGTGGTGGTGGTGGTGTTGATGATGATGTTGGTGGTGGTGGTGGTGGTGGTGGTGGTGATGATGATGATGATGATGATGATGACGACGACGAGACGGGGTTTTAATATATAGTCTGGTTGTGAGATGAATAAATTGAAATTAATAGTTGTTATCTAAATGAACGTAAAGCATGTCACATGATTTTTACAGGTTCCTTCGAGTTGTTTCCCCTCAACTGTTTTTTTCCTCTGTACTATAATAGTACCAATATTTTACAGATCAGGTATATGTTTACATGACTTAAACAGGTAGTGTATGATCAATGATATGCATTTTTAACTTTCTGTGACAAAAATAGTTGTAAAATATATCTATTAAAAACACTGCACACTCCACACTGAATTTTATAGGTTGTCCCTATATCAATGCAAAAATTCTCAATATTGTTATTTTCTACAAATACGATGAAACATTTGAAGGATTTTGGTCACGATGTTTTTGTTTTCGTTAACTTCGGTAACAGTATAATTTAGATATAATATTGCCGATATGGTGCCGTTCAAATACGTCAGGATACTTGTTTTAGGTCGTCGATCAGGCAATGGAAACTTACAGAGCTCTACCTTTCTTACATATACAACATTACATCTTTTAAAATGTATTGCTGTTACATTCGATAGTCAGTATGAACTAGTAGGCCTGGATTGTGACTCCCTAATTGATATTTATCACCTGTTGATTACAGATACCTTGAATGTTATTCTTTTCTTTATAATTTTCGTCTTATATTTTTGCTGCCTCTTTGTAGAATTATTATGACAGTGTTTACATGGTATATATGTTAGATATATGACATTGATGTTTATTTTGAATGGTAAGTTAAGCATACCTGTCGGTATAATAGTGTGTTTTGTATC